ACCTCCCTTCAGTTACAACCGCTGCACATTGATCCAACGCTTAAAATTTACTGTGACATAGAGAACAATAGAATACGTCCCTATATTCCTGTCAATTTTAGACGTGAAGTGTTTAATTGCCTTGCACAATTTGGCACATCCTGGAATCCGTGCCACCAAAAAGCTGATCGCAGACAGATTTGTCTGGCCAGCAATGAATCAAGACATCACAGAATGGACTCGTTCATGTATTAGATGTCAACGGTGTAAAGTATCCCGTCACACTCACAGCCCCATTCAACAATTTAACCTTCCAGCAAGACGCTTTGATCATGTGCACTTAGACTTGGTTGGCCCATTGCCTCCTTCAAATGGTTACACTTACCTCCTCACTTGTATTGATCGGTACACACAAGATGGCCTGAAGCCATTCCTATTGAAAATATATCCGCTGAAACTGTAGCTCGAGCATTCATCTCCCAGTGGCTTTCAAGATTTGGCATGCCTACCACCATCACTACTGACCAAGGCCGACAATTTCAATGTCACTTGTTCGCATCCCTCACCTCTCTTCTTGGCATTCGCCATATTCGCACAACACCATACCATCCATCTGGAAATGGGATGGTGGGACGCTTTCAACATCGACGATCTCTCAAACAAGGTCTGAAGTGCCACAGTAGCACACACTGGACAGAAGCCTTACCCCTAGTCTTGCTTGGTCTTCGCACAGCATTCAAAGAAGACATTGGTAGCACTTGTGCTGAAATGTTATATGGTGCAACCCTCCGTCTGCCAGGTGAATTCTTTCACCCGGAATCTACTCCAGTTATCGACCCTCCAACATTCCTTCAACGTTTACGTGAGACCATGAGCAATATCTCGCCAACCCCAGCATCTTCGCATAACCAGCCAAGCTATTTTGTACATCCTGCGCTTGAGACATCTTCGCACGTATTCGTGCGCAACGATGCAATTAAGCCAACTTTAAACACCTTCATATGATGGTCCATTCAAAGTTGTCAAACGAACACCAAACATTTCACCATCATCTGCAATGGCAAACAATCAGTGATTGGAATCGATCGTCTCAAACCAGCATTTCTAATGCAAGATCCAACAACTTCTTCCTCATCAACATCACTCCCGGAAGAAAGCTTACATCCCGTTAAAGAGCAACCTAAAACTACCAGATCTGGAAGAAAGGTTAAATTTAACCCAAACTACTTATAACGTACCGATGGTACTTGGGGGGGAGTACTGTGGCGTTCCGACAGATACTTCAACTTCTATTCATGAGATGGCGCCACGTGTAAAATCCAGTTCTTAATCGGAGCAGCAAAGCGACATCTTTACTCACTCAGACTTCTCGTCGGACAAGTGTACGTGACGCTAGCACAAACTGTGTTCCGAGCTCTGTGTTGATCTCTGCAATGTAATTTAAATTGTAATTTAGTATTTAATATATTCTTTTGTTATAGGAGATTGTCTACTCTTATTTTCTTTAATTATATCATGCATTAAGCACACACGACCACCAAAGTCCTATGACAAAACAATACTGGGCTCTCTGGGACTCAGTATTGTACTGGAAGTTTGAATTGGATGACAGACAGAAATTCCGATGGCAGCTGATACTTCCAAGATCCCGGATACTTGACATCCTAAAAGAATTATATAGCAGTTCATAAGAAGGCCCCCTTCAGAATAATAAAGAAGCTGCATAGAGTTCGAGAATGCATTCCTGGAGTAATGCAAGGACCGAGGAGCAAAAGTGGTGTCAATCTTGTGATGATTCTGCAGGTCGGAAAAAGCCGAAGAAACGTAGCCGAGGGAAGCTGCAACGTTACCATGTAGGAACATCTATTGAATGCATTGCCACTGACATACTGGGACCGCTGCCATGAACTGCTGATGGGAACAAATTCATCCTGGTTATCATTGGTTACTTCACCAAGTGGTCTGAAGCGTATCTTATTCCTGATCAAGAGCCTGCCACGGTAACAGAGGTAATGATGCAGCATTGGATTTCCAAATCAGGATTGCCTCTTTGTTCACATTCCGACCAAGGAAGAAATTTTACCTCGGCTACAATTAAAGAATTCTGCAAACTACTCGGCATTGACAAAACCCAACCAAGACCTTTACATCCCTAGTCAGATGGCATGGTAAAGAGGTTTAATCGAACCATCCTCAATAACCTCTCGCTGGTTGTTTAAAGAAATCAAGAGAACTGGGACAAGAAATTATTTACCTTTTTACTGGCCTATCGCAGTGCTGTCTGTGAGACTACCGGCTATTCCCATCCCAGGTCTCTTCGGTCGTGGTCTTCGTCTGCTTAGCAATCTCTTGTTTGGTTGTCGTTCCGCTGCACCTTCATCGCCTGAAGAGTACATGCAAGATCTCCAGGCCCAGTTTGATGTGATGCACAGTTTTATACAAGTACGAGTGAACTTGGCGATGGAGAAGATGAAGACCCATTACAACATGAGAGCTAAAGGACATCGATTTAACGAGAGAGACAAGGTGTAGTTGTGGAATCCGATTCTCTACTTCTTGGGATGGACCTTACAACAGGTACTTACTTACTAAACAGGTTGAACGACGACATACTATTTCAGATCCAAGTCACCGGATTCTAAACCTAAAGTCGTTCATTATGACAGGCTAGCCCCTAAGTATGGCCATAGTATATAGTCCGCACGGTGCATGTATAATGTAAATAGTATACGAAGACAATGGACATATTTGTATATAATTTGTAAATTTACGCATTTATTTAATGTTTTAGCACTTGATTTGTTTTATTTATTGGAATTATTGCTTAAGAAACGCATTAATTTTTCTTACTTGTAAGTATGACTTCCTTTCGATGGAATGTACTGAATGTACAGAATAATATAAAAAATTTTACGGTACTTACTATATTTTATATTGAAAAATATTGCACTATCTTAAAATATTTTGCATTAAGTTCCCTGTTCAGAATGTTCTAGAATAAAACAGCACATCAAATAAATCTTTTAATTCAGCTTCCTTGAAAAAAAAAAAAAAAAAAAAAAAAGCACCATATTTTTTAGAAAAAGTATCCCTTATAAATTTAAATAAGCATTTGTGCATGTTGTGAAAATATTTACCATTTAGTTAGGAAACAAACAAATGATTCCTTTCATAGAAGATATAAGGAACTCGAGTACCTCCTATGAGACTTCCTTTAAATACCAGGAATCAAAACTAGGAACCGGTATGAATTCTTGCAAACTTACTGAGTAAATGTTTCCCCTCTCCATTTTTTCCATACTTTGTTATAGAATTGTCACCAGGAATAACAGGATAAAGCATTTCCAACTTCCAATTCATATTCATTTTGATGATCATTTCCTGCAATTGAACTATTTTCCAATCCTGAATTTTATTTCGTGTTTTAATATTTAAAAAAGATTCTGCAACCATTGTTGTTCCTATTCATAGATCATTTCGCAAATGACCACTATTAATGTTAACAGAAAGCAAAACATTAATAAATGTTCAAAATTATAAACTTCCAAAAATCACCTCATGAATGGCAGATAAAAATATGGCTTAAAATTTGAAATACTTTGCATTTACACTACATCACAAATGATTCTTAAAAGTAAAATTATAGCTAGAAAACATTGAATATGATATTAATTTACTTACTCAAAATTCTTTCTGGCTGGGTTAATTATTATTCCAACATGTGTGTTAAAGCGTTAGGCTGATCAGCAACATTCTTTTGTGATAAATGATAAGCAACAGACCTTACATATCATCAATTAGTAATAATATGCTCTCCTATTTCTGATACATAATTATAAAAAAAAATTATCACTCACTAAAAACACACTTTTAAAACATGTTTACAAAAAATGGAAGGGGGGGACCATATATAACATTTTTTTAATCCCTTTCTTCATATTATATAAATATTGTCAATTAAATATAGTAATAAAATCCTGTATATTTCTTTAAATTGCAATTCTGCTGCAAAACTGCAATATGGCATTTTTTAAAAAACATATACAGTCAAAAGTCTTTAATCCGGACTAGTCGGAACTTTGGCGATTCCGGATTATCGATCATCAGTTTAAATCTGGTAAGATGGCATACAGAAATTATAAAATTAAAAATATGAAACCATAATTTATGAAATAAAGAGCAATTATGATCTAAAGGGTATCAAAATTTACAAAAAAAAAAAAAAAAAAAAAAAAAGGCTTAATATTTATTTGTTTACTTTATTAAACATTTCTTTCAACGCGCGCATGGGTAAAGCATACATTACGCATAGTCGAAATTAGAAAATTGCAACCAGAAAACTATTTGATGTGTATTCGTGATATTTATAATGATGAAGAATTTGATTTAAATCATATCAAAGACGGAGTACATCGAGATGAAATACTACATTTAGTAAGGAATTATAAGCCGAATAAAATAAGAACATTTGCCCTGAAGATAAGGATAGTGCTGACAGATCAACTTCCAATTCATTGCACGTCATGACGTTTCCCTCTCCCCCCCTCACTGCAGCGTGAAATTGATAAACAGATTTGGGAATGGTTAGAGAAACAAAGGATATGCCTTTATCCGTTTTTTGCAGCAATTCCACTTTTTGTTTGATTGACATCGAAACATGCTTTCCTTTGGCAGCTCCAGAATCGGAAATTCTTTTTGACATAATCGAAAGTTCAAGCTTACTTTTATAAAATTATTCTAAAAGTCTGCAAAAAATAATAAGCCAGATCCAATTAGAAGATTAAGAAACAATGCAATCTGCAACATTAACTGAAATAGATAATTTTAGCTTAGCTTATACTGTTCGTTATACATTAAATGCGCATTCGTAAATGTATTATGCACATGGGTAAATGCATAATGCGTTTACGCATGTGTAGAAAGTTTGTAGCTTTGAGGTCCGTATTATAGATCATTCCGGATTATGGACGTCCAGATTAAAGACTTTAGAAGATTTCTATGACAAAAAAATTAAAATTTACCTTTGGATTATACTCTTTCCACAAAAGAGGTACAACTTCAGACACCATACCATATTCCACAGGTAATTCTTTGGCTACTATGTGATAATCAGTAATATTCAACTTTAGGAGTTCTTTCACAGTAAGCCAGCTTGAATTTTCAGTATGACTTCTGAATGGTCCAAAACCTATAATTAGAAATTTATACTTTAATAATAATGATAATAATATTAATAATAATAATAATTTGGAAAAACGAGTTCTTGCCGATATGTCAAAATTCACAACAGGACGGGTCAAATAAACACAACTATTCAATTAATATTATTTATCTTATAGACTGTGTTATGCAGACTGATAGAAACGTTTACAATATACAAAACATTTTTAGCATGTAGAAATCTCGGTTTTAAAAGTAACTGAGTACAAAAAATTCAAAAAGAAAAAAAAAAAAAAAAAAGTCCTTAAAATATTATCTGAATTTAATAAACTGAAGAGCATGGCCAAGATGGGGAGTTGAAACAAACTCTTCTTTTCTAAGTATTTTTACAAAATATGCTGTATATTTACTGCAATAAATCATTTGTCAGAAAAAACTTTTCAACAGCTGAAAAAAGTTTATACAATTTTTAAGTTACTTGAGAAATGCGTACATGTGTTGTATACACTTCCCACTTTTATGCAAGGATTAATTAACGATTTGCAAGAAGTTACTTTATTATTGTAACCTGAATAATAATGTAACCTGTACTTATATACAGTGGTCATTTTAAACAAATACAGTATTACTGTATTTGCAATTCCTGTTAATGTTACTTCTTTAGAATGTTGGCAATCCATATAAAAACGGGCACTATTTTGATGCATTGCCAAGTATAGCATTTCTTTACCTGTTTCAAAAGAATAAAATTATTTCAAAAGAATAAATTGAATTTAAATACAAATTTAATTAATTCTTTGTGCCATTGCTGCAAGGAATGAAATTTAAATTTTAACAAACATGTATATACGTAAAAAGCAAATTTAAAGTTAAAATAATTAAAAAATGTGCAAACATATAAAAGATTTAATTTTCGAATTAATCTACAATATCATTTAAATTCAGATAGCATAAGTAAATCAATTAAGACACAATAACACGCCGAATAAATACTAATTCAGAAATCAAACAACAAAAATCAGCGTTATATTTACAAAGTTTTCACAGGACTAGTTTCGATGGTTTTACCGAACCACCATCTTCAGCTGCAAAACCGCAAATGAACAAGATAGGAAATAATGATTAGATAAGATAAGAAAGCCTGGACAAGAATAAGCAAGTGGTGCCATCTGTTGGTAAAACCAGAACTAAAACATAATTTCTTTAAAGGCCGAAGGCAAATTTGGATTGGAATTAGGATCGTTAACTAGAACAGAAAGATTTTTATGAATGTGAAATGCCTCTAGAAAATCCAGTTCTCCAATGGAAGATGTTTTTTGAATAATTTTGGCAGCAGAAAAACTGAAAGTGTGGTTTTCGGACCAGCAATGTTGAGCAACAGAAGACTTCTGTGTTTCCTTTTTTCTAACATATGCCTCATGTTCCTTGACGCGAAATTTTAAGGCTCTCTTAGTTTGGCCAATGTAAATTAAACCACACTGGCAAGGAATCCTATAAATACCCCAGGAATTCATATCCGGAATGGGGTCCTTGAGTATGGAACTCGGAATTTTATTGATGGGAGAATAAATCTTTCTGTTCTAGTTAACGATCTTAATTCCAATCCAAATTTGCCTTCGGCCTTTAAAGAAATTATGTTTTAGTTCTGGTTTTACCAACAGATGGCGCCACTTGCTTATTCTTGTTCAGGCTTTCTTATCTTATCTAATCATTATTTCCTATCTTGTTCATTTGCGGTTTTGCAGCTGAAGATGGTGGTTCGGTAAAACCATCGAAACTAGTCCTGTGAAAACTTTGTAAATATAACGCTGATTTTTGTTGTTTGATTTCTGAATTAGTATAAGTAAATCAAGTTCAAAAACAACCATAAAAACAAATTCACCAATTTAGCAAATTAAAATTAATCTAATTTTTTTTTTTTTTTTTTTTTAATGCATAAGTGAATGACTGTTGAGCAGGCAGGAGACAGACTTATCAAGGGGAAGTTGCCTCCAAACCTAACTCTACAATCATTCAATTCGTATTACGTCATTCATGCAGGCAAGGGTAAAAGTCAAAACCAAAAGTAAATACATGGTGAATAATGTCCAAAAAGAAATACCAATAAAGTGGTACCCTGAGAAATTAGCAATTAAAATAAAGGTCTAAAAGGAAAATACCAATAATGAAGTATTTTGAGAATTAAGCAATGTAAAGTCTAGTATTAAATTAAATTAAAAAAATTTTTTAAATTAAATTTTTCAGAAAAATTAATTTAGAAACCAATGCATTTTAGAAACCCTTGTCTACAGAAACCTCCCCGACACGAATATGCATATCAATCAAAAAGAAACTAAAAAGGAACTAGACTTAATTTATATAAACCAATAAGAAACTAAAAAGAACTAATTCATAATTTATAAAAAAACAAATAAATACTTAAAAATATAATTACATATCTAGAAAATATTTGAATACTACATAAAAAATATTTAAAAGCAAGTAAATAGTTAAGTTTTAATTCTAACTTACCTACCATATATCGTTGGGGTCTGTAAAAGTATTTCCTAAATGATGTAAATTATATAGATGGCGCTTATGTAAGTAAAGTTGAGTGCCAAGCTGCTATCTTTGTTTTATTAAAAATTTTGTAAACTTTAATATTAAAATATTTAAATAATATAAATCTAGAAAAAATCAAAGAATATCCTAAAAGTATGCAATTCAAGTTGTAATTTTAACTGACCAACTATTTATGGTAGGGAGTTTAGTAGCTGAGCCAATCAAGAGATGTAAGTTTGCTCTGCAAATATCATAAAAAGAGTACTCTAATTGAAGTAAAGTAGAGTTAAGTGGTTATTGTGAACTAATAAATGTAAACTGTTTGTAATGTTAAATGTGTGTTGCAAAATTGTGTAAATAATGCAAAAAATTATTTTTTAGTGAAAAATGCAAATTAAAAAGTAATTAAGTAAAACTGAAATGTTTAAAATTTAAAAATGTTTTAAAATAAAATTTAAATTTTAAAAAGTCTTAAAAAATACCCCAAATTTTTTTAAGTAAAATTTAAATTTTGAAATGAATTCCTAAAAATTATTTATTTATTAAATTGAATTCCTTAAAAATGTTTATTAAAAGCTAAATTTAAAGAAAGAAAATATTAATAAACTTGATTCCAGCTGGTATAGCAAAACTTTACTAAATACTGGCTAAAGTATGGAAAATTAGAAGAAGATTAATATCTTCACTCAATTCGGACTATAACTGAGACTTTTGAAAAGAGTTGGCCCTTTATTAGTAATAGGACAGAATCCAGTATTGATTAAATATACTTATTTACAAATTTATTTACAATAAAAATTTACAAGATAATTCCTTTACTCTTCTACATCCTCCATTACCCTCCAGCTAAGGTTCAAGGTAATGTTATCATACCATAAAGAGCCAAAAAATTATAAAGTTAATGCCTGCCTTTTTAATATATAAATTAATAAATTTTGGTGGTACTTGGTTATCAACTTGAACATTAATTAGCTTTATTACTTCTTCCTTTAAATCTTCTATTTCAGTACATATACTTTTTATTCTGATTATTTGGTTATGAAACATGTTTTCTATTACTTTTCTAGAGATATTAGAGTTCCAATTAATTAGCTTAATAGTATGAAAATGGAAATTCCTTCTTTTATCATATAATTTAATTTTGCTGTGTTTAATAATTAGCAGGTCTAGGTATTCAATAGTATCTTGATTCGTATTCGTTTTATTAAGTGTTAAACTATTTGGGTAAATTTTGAATTGCTCAAAAGCAGAATTATTATTGAAAGTTCTTATATCTGATACGCATGCCCCCAGGGGTATGTGAAATAATCTCGGGTATGCAGAAAATAAAGATGATAGATTGAACATAAGAGAAATGACAAAAAGTTGTAAAAACTGGCACTTCAAATACAAATTACATTTCATTATGAAAAACAAAAATAATTAAATTGAGTCCAAAACAATTGTAATTTAGTAAAATATAAATATTTTAAATTCAGTTTAGGCATATATTTTATCTGTGGGAGCAGAAACAGTCAACACGGATAGAATCATTGGCCAACACCTGATAATAATAGGTATATTTCAATAATCCTTACACAAAGTACGCAGGATATTTGGCATGATTTTCTGTAATAAAATTTTATTTCTACTAAGAATTTGTGGTAATCCCAGTGTTAGTCATTGGAAAGGTTATAATTTCTCCATTTCTTTGTCTCAGTATTGCCAATCCTACTATACGTATAGTACTTGTATCATAATTTAAAATTAATATACTCGAAAATTATGGGTATATTACATAAATTGCACTGTAATTTTAAATATCAATAGCAACACTGCTTTGTCTGTCTTGCAATTTTTATCATCTGAACATTCCCAGACAGCCCGTCTCCAAAAATAAATGTATAGTTTTGGTGAAATAAAAGTATATTTTTTGTACACCATTTTTAAGAAAATTATACGAATAAAAAAAAATTATTGTCGACACTTTAGCGTATTTTACACGTTATTTTCACGAAAATTATAGGAAGCCAAATGTACTTTAATTAAAAAAAAATAAATAAATAAATAAATAAAATAAACCACAAACATCATAGTACTTTTCATCCGCTATTTTTATGAATATCATACAAATTTTATAAGCCTTGAAAAAAATCTGATTCAGAGTATCTGTTAATTATTTATGCATTTTATATTTCTTGTTCCTTTTTCCTTCCGGGGGGGGGAGGGAAGAAAGGATTTTTATGTCATACTCTAATTAATTTTATGTTTTGATAATAATAATATGAACTTAATGAAACTGAAAACTTAATTTTCATATTTTACATTATAAGGTATTTCCCCCACCTTCTTGATGTGCGTTTGTGGTGTAGTGGTCTGTACGCTGAGTGCATATTCCAGAGATTTGTGGTTCGATTCCCGATGAAGGCATTGCTAATTTTTTATCTTGCCTGCTTCCAAAAAATACCTAATGTTTATACAAGTGGCGCCCGAACTAAAAGGATGGTG